AGTGTGTTGCCTTGGATTAGACTCAACAAGGGTCTTCAGAGCATCAATATAAATTCCAACATGTCAGCCGCTGCCATCACAGTCTTTAAGGCTAAAGTCACCTGAACGAAATTTGCTGAACCATCGTTGACACTTACGAACGTTTAAAACATTTTCATAAACTTCTTTGATATTATTTGTGGCTACAGCAGCGTTGTTTCCCTTCTTGTATTCAAACAGCATTACATTCCCATGTACGTCTCGTCGTGTGCCATCACTATATGGGATCAGAGTATTCTAAACTTTACACATTATATAGGCTACACTAACGTGGCGTTTAGGCGATTCGTTTAACTATTATACGTGATGTACGTTTTGTGGGTGGGTGGTTAATGTAAGTGTTCCAAAACGCGACATTAATTTCTTGACGACCTAATACTTAACAGCGACCCCACCAAAATAACTGAACCGAAAGTTAAAGAGATTATTTATGAACTTACAAAAAACAAGTAACCTTCCTAAGAAGCTTCTAGATGAATTTATACCCTCTAATAGCCACATTCTAGAATTGTACGGTTTACCAAAAGAACATAAACCAAATATTTCACTAAGATTCATAATCTCAGCACATGGCAGTGCCACTGAAAGTCTGTTTTGGCTTATACATACAATTTTAATGCCATTACTAAATTACGTTCCAGCACACCTAAATAATACACAATACTTGCTATCATGTATCAAGGATGTGCCTCACATAGTGATCAACACAACAGTACTTTTTACATTGGACATCGTAGCTCTCTATCCATCCATACAGACAGAAGATGGTACCGATGCAGTGTGTGATTCATATCAAATCACATAAACAATTTGGAGATGTACGGATTGATAATAGACACTGTCAGAGAGATCTTACATGTCATCTTTCATAATGGATATTTTTGTTTTGACAACAAACTATATCTTCAACTAAATAATGTCGCAATGGGCAATAGAGTCGCCGTTATTTATGCCGTAATATTTATGTACGCTTTTTAAACAACGGCACTTGACAAGTAGCATCAAAGTACCAAAACTGGCCCTGAACATATAATGTGACTTGTATTGTATTTTTAGGATGAAACAAAGTCTATTGATTTTTAAAGCGACTTTTCAATCTTTCCCATGGTCGTTTTGTCATAAATATGTTCCGAATATATTTTTTATACATCTGTACCAGCTTGCAAAGCTGTGGGTTGTGTGATCCTCCCGCAATTTATACGTTTATATCTAAACTTACTTTGTGTCAGCCCTACGTATATAGATGTACGTCTTTCCCTTTCTCTACCCTTGTTTTATAAATCTTAGTTAAATAGTTTTTCTGAGTTAAATTTACTGGTCAAGAGTAACTAAAGAGCTCACGAAATTGAGTTTTCTCTATGTAATCAATTAGTTTGTCCTCCACCCCGTGGTTCGTCCTAAATTTGAGGACTTATCACGCTAAAAATCAAGTTTCAGTGCCCATTGTGGGCACAGCACAGATAAACCATTGTGCAACTGCTTAGCAACAAACAAATAAAACAAATCCTTGAATATAAAAACTTATAAAATTTGTTATGCTATTTTTTTCTCTTCATCAGTTGAGATACTCCCAAACAAAATGGGCCGAGAGGGTCCCATTGGTAAGCGCCATAAAAATAATCGCGCTAATAACTTTTTTTTTTTACAATGGGTGCATTCTGAATGACAATCAAATATCACTATTCAACTAGAGTATCCCAAGAATTGGCGGTGTGTGGTGTTGGCTAGCTGTCCTCTAGTCTATTACTTCAAAATTAGGGACGACTAACGCAGGTAATCCTCAAATAGTTTGGCGCTAACTTTAACAAACAACAACTAGGAAATACGAAGACCATATTTTCTTTAAAGCTGGAAAACAATTACGTTTATTATCCTGATAGTAATCAACAAATATTTCCTTTAGTAAAGTATATGCAATGTCGCTGCCAATACGTGTCTTATTTGGCCTAAGTGATGTATTTCAAATTGCATTTATGACATTTGCTTTGAGAATTTTTATGAGTAATGGTACCTTAAGTGGTAGCTGGTGTCTTTGTTTTAGCAAATATTATATCAAATTAAATTGTTTTCATTTTAATAATAAAAAAATATATCTAAAAATATTTTAAATGTCAGTGTGTGATTTGATACACTGTATGTATTAAAGTTATGTCATAACGTTAAATATTTTGCACGCCCTTGTGAATATGTAGATAATTTGAAAGTAATATTGAATATTTCAGTTAGATTTCTTTATTTTAAATTTCATAGGATAGAAAATCACGGAAATCCATACGTTTAAGAATTATAAATATATAACAAAGTTTATTATGCAATATATGGAATACAATTTGTGCACAAGGCAAACACTTCAAATGAATAGTATAAGCTAATCTTAATATGTCTGTCTGTAGTGAAGTTGAGTAAAGTACATTATCGTAGAAGTATCACATTTCTGAAAACTAGTTTTAGTAGCACATTTCTGAAAAATACTTTTAGTAGCACCTTTCTAGAACATTTTTAGTAGCACATTTCTGAATAGCATTTTAGTAACATATTTCTAAAAACACTTTTAGTAGTACATTTCTAAAAACACTTTTAGTAGCACATTTCTAAAAACACCTTTAGTAGCACATTTCTGAATAGCATTTTAGTAACATATTTCTAAAAGCACTTTTAGTAGTACATTTCTAAAAACACTTTTAGTAGTACATTTCTAAAAACACTTTTAGTAGCACATTTCTAAAAAACACCTTTAGTAGCACATTTCTGAATAGCTATTTTAGTAACATATTTCTAAAAGCACTTTTAGTAGTACATTTCTAAAAACACTTTTAGTAGTACATTTCTAAAAACACTTTTAGTAGCACATTTCTAAAAACACCTTTAGTAGCACATTTCTAAAAACACTTTTAGTAGCACATTTCTGAATAGCATTTTTAGTACCGTATTTCTAAAAACTCTTTTAGTAGCACATTTCTGAAAAAACAACTCTTTTAGTAGCACATTTCTGAAAAAAAAAACACTTCTAGTAGTACATTTCGAAAAATATTTTTAGTAGCACATTTCTGAAAAACACTTTGCACAGTCGTCGCATTGGTAGAAATATTTCACAATAAATCATGTACTCATGGCTGAACACAGAATTAAAAGATAAAAAAAAACGTGTTTGTTATTCATTTTAGTAACTACCATAAGGAGAAGCAACCTTCAAAACCGGATGGTGGTATGTAGGAACAGAAACCTTTACAGAAGGAACATACGCAGGAGGGGCGATTTTAAGGACGGGACGGTAAACATTAGGTTTTGGGACGCTGTAAACTTTGGGTTGGTAAGTTGCAGGGGCTTTCTCCGACGTAATTTGAACATCGGCGGGATTTTGGTTGTCAGTCCCGGGCTCGTTGGTCTTTATCACAAAACGGGCACCTGCTTGATCGGCAATGTACTCCACCTGGCGGTAGACACCTGCAGCATCACGGTAACCATAAGAACCCTGCTTGTTGCCGTATTCATCACCAGACTCCTGCTGCCATTGAGTGTCGCCATAATCATTCCTGACCTCGTAAGAAAAGTCATAAGGTTGGGGTTTTTCCTAAGAATAAAAATAGCAAATATTTAAATGTTCTAAATTAATCTTTTTTTTTGGATAAAGGTAGAATGAGTATTGGTGATTAGGAAGATGGTGCTGTTAAGAAATAGCTATCATCGGATTATTTACAGCAGCTGAAAACTTCAGTTAAAATTTCTTATTAAAAACAAAATGACTCACCACTGGTTCTGGCACGTAACCATACGGGGTAGGAATGGCGCGTGCTGTCACGACAAATAGACAGATGGCAACTATCTGAAAATAATTACCTATTTTTAGTCAATTCATAAAAATGGAACGAACAAAAGTAGAAAGTCTGAAATATTGAGACGTAGTAAATTTTTATTCAACTTCAGAGAGAAGTTTGTTGTTAATTGATAATATGTTATGCTAGTACAGGTGGCGATTAAATCAAAATAGTTGAAAACGAAATACATTTTTACTTCAAATAATAGTATCGCACATAGCTCGGATAGTATTTGTGAAGTTAGAAAAAGAAAATTGAAAATTTATACGTTCTAAGGTCATCCCGACGTTCCAGAACTCTTTGAAATGATATCTGTTGATTTCTTACCTTAGAGAGCATAATTGTAAGCTTTGTACTTCACTCAAAGAATATACAAGACAACGATATCAGGATCTTGATTAGGCGTTTTATATATCAAGCTAGAGTCTTTGAAGAATAAAAACCCGTGTAATGCAATGTAGGCCAAACAGTTTTACTAACATCCAAGAAAATAAGAGTTTTCCTAAGGCTTGGGCTTGGTTGTCCCACCCTTTCTTCACCACCGTTCAAACTACCTAACTGAACCAATAAATACAGAGCATCATACAAATCAGAATGTGTTGTAGAAAGGATGTAATAACGAAAGAATCGCGTACGTAACGAGTGCTCTAAATTCGGAATTTTTATTTAGTTTTTGTTCTTCTTCCTCATTCTTTATCCTTTGTTTTAGTTACCCGGAAAAAATAAACTGAGACTACCAATAACAGAGAAAAACACAATGTGAAAGACTTCGACACCACCTGGTGTTTAAAATTATTATTTTTAACCACGAGTGCTATTCAATGACAATAATGGTAATTTAAAACAGTTTCTTATTAACACTTTGTAAAGTTATATGTTATGAATACCTAAAGCGCCCATTTCTCATTACTTCGTTTCACACAGTGTCTGTCGTACAAGTTTCGATATTGAAATCTCAGAGCTGTTTCTCTTTTTTATAACACCACAAGATAAAATCTATTATGTCAAGTACTTAATTCTCAATTTTTATTTATTTTCCTTTTTTTCAGAACCTATAAATTAATATGTTTTATATTTCGCTTGTGACAGTGAGCTTGTGATGTTTATATATTATTTATACCCTTTTTACAGAATCTATGTAAAATATATTTTTATATTTCACCGTTGTTACGAATATTTGATATCTATTTACGTCTTTGTATTCGTATTTATGTTAAATTTACAAAGGATTTCTACTGTTGCTCCTAATTTTGAGCTTTTATCCACAGAGAAGCAACCTATTACCCAACATCCACGCTGAGGGTTGAATGTTATCTTTGCAACGCACACAAAACTTAGAGACGAGGAATATTTCGTGGTATCGCACGGATTCGAAAACGATTCGTCAGCTTCGAAATACAGAGCTCTACCAAAGGACAACCCAGAAGAATATTTCAATTTCAAAACTGAAACTAAAACCTTCCGCACATAAACACTGCTTAAGAGAAATGTAGTAAAAGGACTTTTTTTCTTTCCTAGAATACAAATATTACATGCATCCATGATTCCAGATTGAACTCAACCACTACAAATTATTGACATTTAAAAACATGCACTTGCATATTCTTTGCTCTTTGGAAACGACCATGACAAGGAATAAGTCGAAAAACAACAATAATACACAACATACAAAATATTTTGTAATTTCATATAAAAATAAACCAATATTCGTTTATTACAAACTTTTGAAAAGAAAATTCCACCATTTCTTTCAAAATGTAAGCATGCACTCACTTGTTAAACCAAAAATAAAAACCAAAACGACTAAAACAAAATAAATTATGGTTTTTAATTATCATGCTGTAGCATGCGATTCATTGTTGTTTTAAAAAGACTTGGATAAATTTGAAATTTGTTATATTTTGTTCAACTTATGTTTATTTAGAGGTCACGTGAAGAGTTCAGATGGTAGGAGATTCTTAGAAATTTAAATCAATAAAATTACTTATTTTAACAAGAAATTCACACTGTTGTAGATAGCCTAATTCCTACTAGAGCCATCAAATACCTTTATAATTTACGTATTATTTTTTCTTCCCAAAATGTGAATTTCAGTGAAGAAAGATGATGTGAGGCCTTTGATACGCTACTCCAGCTACAACACATTAATTTCGCCAAATGCATGGCTCATCTGTGCTTCTTGAAAGAGAGAAGCGTATAAACAAAGTAGGCTTCATATATAATGGTGGAATTTAATGAAATTGTATTTTATAATTGCGATCCTATACTGGCGTTACATTAGGTCTAACAAGCGATTTGGTAATTGATCAAACAAAAAATATGATATGTCATTGTATTAACGCTGCTAGTTATACATGTTGAAACAGTATAACAACACTAGCTGTGAAAGATGAGATCTATGTGTTTTAAGAAATGGTAGAAAGTATTATTGTACGTATAAGAACTTTTAGCTCATGTATAAAAATTGAACATTGTTTACCAGCTGTCTCTTTTACTTATTAAAGCAGATTTATTTACTATAAGTTATTTTAAAACGTTTTAACAACAAACAACTACGTCCTTGTTGTAACAATTTCAAATATTGATGTGCCATCAATTAGTATCATTAAAGTTATTTTTTATCAATGTAAGAAATAAGTTTATAACTGCTTGAAAATGACAGTTAAATACCTTTAAGAATTCTATAAATATTTTATTTGATGATAAATATAAAAGTTTTACAATTAAAATTATTTATATCACTGTGAATGTGTTAGTGGCACAGTTATGTATCAATTTAAATATTTTAGGTAAAAATATTATAAAATTAATTTCAAATAAATCTCTTATTGAATTTTTAGCTTTCCAAGTGAGGTTGAATTGCACAAAACAACTAAACGAAAAATAATGCTAGTCGTCTTAATGTTTTTAAATTTATTTTATACAGTTGTATATAAATTCACCATTTCATTTTTATAGCGCATTTTTACAGCTCAAAATTTTCTGAAACATTTAGTGGTTGTCATCTTTTTTTTCTCAAAGTTTGGCAGGTTTGGATGAAAGCTACATTTTGGACAATTTATGAAGGATCTAGCTGATTTCATATTGAGACCAGATTTAAAGGTATTTCTATGAAAACTCTTAAAAGTGCTATCTGTACTTGTGTAGTTGAAATGAAATGAATTCTCATGAGATGAGAAGACTTTTCGCGCACAATCAGGTTAAAACGTAGTTCTTGAATCAAATAATTTACTCATCCATTTGTTCCTAGAAGAAAACTTTTCTGTAGAAAGTAGACTGTCAAAAAAAAAAAAGTCTCGAAAAGGCATTTTACAAAAATTCATTTAATCTAAAGTAAAAATACATTAATTACAGTTCACACCAATAAACAGTTTTGAAGACCTGGTTAAAAACCTAACTTATTTATTTACAGGGAAGGACAAGCTCATATTATCAGAACAATCTCAATATGCTAATATAGTGGCACTTCACAGCAAGTACACGGGCGACTTTTTCAGCCCTTTTAGATTTAGTGACCAGCAAATTACCGACCATTCGATGACACAGTAACGTGACAGCTAATTTTGGTCGGAAGAGAAAAATTAATACAGCGAAATTTTTATAAATACACAAAATATTGGAGTTTTTAATGTTATCCATGAAAGCACAAGTTTGTTTGTTTGAACTTATGCACAAAGCTACACAATGGGCTATCTGTGCTCTACCCACCACGGGTATCGAAACCCGGTTTCTAGCGTTGTAAGTCCGCAGACATACCGCTGTGCTACTGGGGGGCTCCATGAAAGCAGAAAGTCCCACACGGTGACGTTTTTAGGACAACAGGCTCCAAATCCATATCCCAAGCTAATCAAGAGCAACACATTATATGAAAAGTGAAGGATAGAACTGCGCAAGAGAAATGACCGACTAAGCCGTTATAATGAAGCATTTCATATCTTTTATATTATTTACATAATAATAAACAATGACTTGAAGTTGGTGAAGGTTCACAAGCCAATAATTCACTAAGCTTCAACGAGAAATATGACCGATAAAAACTGAAATCACAACGATCATGTTCGTCCATCGACGTAGCTAAATTTGGACTTCTGACTTTAGTCTGCTTAAAATGGTTATTGATATTTAAAGTCTAATACACTGGAGGGTCTATGGAAGGTTTGTAAAAATGTATGGTATAAGATTAAGCTTGCTGTCCTCCAGAGAAGATTGTTACAATGGTGTAGGGTAATAGTGCCTGATCTTGACAAGAATAAAGATGATCCATCTATAAACATAGTTGTTTTAAGCATAGCATTGGATCTGGAACATCATTCTTATAAAATGTGATTAATCCTCAGTATCCAGAATGTCTTAGACAATGAAAACACACGGTACTAAAATAATGAACAAGATTAAGTATGGGCGTAAACTTCTCCTTTTATTTTTTTCCACGACGAAACTTAATATTAAACACAAGTTAAGTTAATGTGATAATTTCGGGTGTCAACTGTTGCTCAGGGCGTTTCGAGAGTAGATCATCGTCCTGCTCCTTTGATCTATGCTCCAGTAAACTATGTAGGAAGTAAGGAATAACCACACTCCACCCTGATTTACTTCTAAATAACACGTGTTAAATGTGAACCAGATTTTCATCTTCAAGTTGTTAGGGTTAAAATAACTAAGATCCTTCCGAAACCAAAAATCACTTTGCCAACAGTTTATCGTCGGCAGACTTATTATAAAAATTTGCGAATGAAAGATACAAAAATAAACAGAGGGGTATTAATGTTTCACTAAAATTAAGCTTATCTTAATATTATTCTAGTGAATTCTTTTATTCAAGTGAGGCGATTATCTTCACATGATGACAGTTGAAAGTGTACTTTTTCTACTTAAGTGTAATACGCCAGTAGTGCTTACTTTTAAGAGTAAAGAACATTAAAATAGATTCATTTTAATACCAAGTAAAATGGTGAGAGAATTCAAATGCAAATTATAAAGAACTAGATTGGATATGAATAATGAAGTAAATAAATTAATATGATATTTGATTGAATACAGTTGAAAAAGTTTGAAGCAAGACATTTAAAATGTTTCACGAACACATGGTTCTAAGTACAGATAATATTACTTTACAATCTAAAGATCACGCCATCTACCCCCAGTGGCCCAGCAGTATGTCTGTGAACTTACAACGCTAGATATCGGGTTTCAATACTCATGGTGGGCAGAGCACAGATAACCCATTCTGTAGCTTTGTGTTTAACTTCAAACAAACAAACAACCACGCCATCTATGTTGGAATTAACGTGTGACTTGCTAGTTAAATAACGAAAAGACATTTGATCACATATATTAAA